TCCTTTCTGAGCTACACCCAGAGTTCATTCGAGATAATGGGAATAGATTTATTCACCTTTGTCTCCTCGCAGGCTTTGACTCATTCCAAGAAATACAGAAATCTTCATTCGCAGGATCCTGAGTGGGAATTCTCTCTCTTTCCCACTCTTGTGCAGAGGTCACACACTGTTAGAAAACATTTTTCATCAATCACAGGCAAATTATAGACTGTATTTAAAAAAAAAATCCTTGAAAAGGACTCTGCTGTTAGGGTCCCAGTCTCACTTATATTGAACTCCCATTATTTTTATGTTTCAGGATCAGGCCCTTGGTGAGGAGAGAGTGCCACAGCTGTGGGAGGGCCAGTTTGTTAGGAAAAGTAACTGGCTTTTGCCCACAAGAGGGAGCCTCAGGGTCAGTTATGGGTCTTCTTACCTGAAGCAGAGAAGCCATGTTGTAGTTTATTTTCTGTTACTTTGTCCTCACCCACAACTATTTCACATTTGGGGACAATATATACCTTTAAGTCAGCGGCACTGCTATGGGTACCTGCATGGCCCCACAGTATGCCAACATTTTTATGGCTGACTTAGAACAACGCTTCCTTAGCTCTCGTCCCCTAACACCCCTACTCTACTTGCGCTACATTGATGACATCTTCATCATCTGGACCCATGGAAAAGAAGCCCTTGAGGAATTCCACCATGATTTCAATAATTTCCATCCCACCATCAACCTCAGCCTACATCAATCCACACAAGCGGTCCATTTCCTGGACACTACTGTGCTAATAAGCAATGGTCACATAAATACCACCCTGTACCGGAAACCTACTGACCGCTATACTTACCTACATGCCTCCAGCTTCCATCCAGGACACACCACACGATCCATTGTCTACAGCCAAGCTCTAAGATACAACCGCATTTGCTCCAATCCCTCAGACAGAGACAAGCACCTACAAGATCTCTATCAAGCATTCTTAAAACTACAATACCCACCTGCTGAAGTGAAAAAACAGATTGACAGAGCCAGACAAGTACCCAGAAGTCACCTCCTACAAGACAGGCCCAACAAAGAAAATAATAGAACACCACTAGCCGTCACCTTCAGCCCCCAACTAAAACCTCTCCAGTGCATCATCAAAGATCTACAACCTATCCTGAAAGATGATCTCTCACAGATCTTGGGAGACAGACCTGTTCTCGCTTACAGACAACCCCCCAACCTGAAGCAAATACTCACCAGCAACCACACACCACTGAACAAAAACACTGACCCAGGAACCTATCCTTGCAACAAAGCCCAATGCCAACTCTGTCCACATATCTATTCAAGTGACATCATTATAGGACCTACTCACATCAGCCATGCCATCAGGGGCTCATTCACCTGCACATCTACCAATGTGATATATGCCATCATGTGCCAGCAATGCCCCTCTGCCATGTACATTGGCCAAACCGGACAGTCTCTACGCAAAAGAATAAATGGACACAAATCTGACATCAGGAATCATAACATTCAAAAACCAGTAGGAGACCACTTCAACCTCTCTGGTCACTCAGTAACAGACCTGAGGGTGGCAATTTTGCAACAGAAAAGCTTCAAAAACAGACTCCAACGAGAAACTGCTGAACTTGAATTGATATGCAAACTAGATACAATCAACTTAGGCTTGAATAGAGACTGGGAATGGCTGAGCCATTACAAACATTGAATCTATCTCCCCATGTAAGTATTCTCACACTTCTTAGTCCAGTACAGACCGTTTGATATCTTGATTATCACTTCAAAAGTTTTTTCTCTTACTTAATTGGCCTCTCAGAGTTGGTAAGACAACTCCCATCTTTTCATGCTCTCTGTATGTGTATATATATCTCCTCAATATATGTTCCATTCTATGCATCCGAAGAAGTGGGCTGTAGCCCATGAAAGCTTATGCTCAAATAAATTTTAGTCTCTAAGATCCCACCAGTACTCCTGTTCTTTTTGCGGATACAGACTAACACGGCTGCTACTCTGAAACCTTTATTTTCTGTGCCACTAGAGGGGGCATGCTGGCTGCTCTAACTGCTAGTCACAGGCACAATATCATAACAGTTTTGTATTTGAAAAGTAATATGTACTCAGACCACTGCTATATGCCTACCATCATAACTTTGCCTTAAAGTTTTGTGTGCCTTTAGAATGGTACTATTTTGAGTAAATAAAGTGCTTATGGGGTGCCCAGAAATCCAGCAGCTACTTCTCATACTCATCCAAATTCCTGATGCAGACACAGAGACCTCAATAGGTATGTAGGCCCAGTTGTTTAATTCCAATACTAATTAGAATTGAATGTGTCATACAGAAATTCAGCCTCTGGCTTCAATACTCATCAGCATTCTTGTGTTTTCTCACTCTGTTGGATACACAGCAGAGGGGAGAAAGGGCACAGAAACCTCACCTGCCTGATTCCCATGCACTTTAGGCTATTACACAACATCTCTGTGAAAAATAAAGAGCAAGGGAAACTGAGACTTGAGTAATCTTAAATCAGTGTGTGAATGCAAATGACAAGTTAGATCTAAACTGTATATTTAAACAAATATAAATTAATGATTATAATATTATGCATATGGCCTTATAAAAACTGCAGTTTACATAAATGTCATTATATGGACTTTTTTTTCAAATGTAATGTCAATGAAACCTTAACCCTTGATCAATCTATGTCCCATATGTGTTAGAAACCTTGATACGAGGCCAGGTGGGCATTTTTATGAAGGAAGGGGAAAAGTAAAAGCTCTGTAATAAACAGCAAAAGAAAGAACAGTTCAAAGGTGAAGGCACTATTGATCAGTTGCAGAATGCATTTTAGATGCATGAAAAGTGAAAGTTTTTTTTGGGCTATTGAACAACATCAGAAATATAAAAGGCTAATCTTAGCTAACTTTGTGGACAGCAAAGTTTTCCTCCTAGGATCTCAAAGCACTTTACAAATATTAATGAATTGAATTAATTGAATGAACAAATTTAATATAATGAATTAAGTCTGATACTTTATGGAACCTTATTAAAAGCTGATGTAAAGAGCTACTAGCAGAAGTCATAAGAAGTTTCGTTGGTCCTACAAACCAGAGGAACTATTCTACGTTGTCATGATCCTATCTACTGCCACTTTATCTCTTAACCACACACACACACACACACACCCAAGCTATATAGCAGTCCTGCAAAAAGCCTTGCATCAAACATTAATGAATTAAATCTAACATTACATACATTATTATTTTTTACAAAACCTCTTCTTTTTCACGAAAAAGAGGATAGAAGAGTGAATTCTAGGACTGTCCAGTTGGATTTATGTATATTTTGTAAGATGCTTAGATAGTGATGAATTCCATAAGTACCTGGTTAAAATAGAATACTCAGCTGTGTGATGCAGGTAAATATTGTCATCATATTACAGGTGATTAAACTGAGACAGCGAGAAGATAAGGGACTTGTCCAAGGGTGTATGAATCAGTTGCAGAGCTAGGAATAGAATCCAGCTCCCAGACTCCTCCTCTAGCTACTGGTCACCCTTGTTTCAGAGTTGAGGATTGGGCATCCCACCTGGGAGCTTTGGCTTTTGTAATTTTGCAGAACTAAAACATTAGTCTAGCAACAGGATTCCACTCATCAATGAAGATCATGCTAGTTTCTGGCCACTAGTTGGCAGATCCATCACAAGTGTCCAGTTTATCATTTAGTTGAGTATTGGGAACCCCTTGCCCCTAGCATAATAGAATATATGGGTTGCAAGGGACCTCAGGAGGTCATCTAATCCAACCCCCTGCTCAAAGCAGGACCAATCCCCAACTATATATATTTTTTGCCCCAGATCCCTAAATGGCCCCCTCAAGGATTGACCTCACAACCCTGGGTTTAGCAGGCCACTGAGCTAGCCCTCCTCCTCCCCCTTTTGAATTTGTGAAGGGCATTGGCCTGTTAGCATGTTCCTATGAAGGTGTATTACAGGTCTGAGTGTGTTATTTGTGGGTATTTGGATGGGAGTGCTGATCTGAGCACAAGAGTGTGTATGTGTGCACAAGAGCAGAGGTGGAGCTATGTGGGCATGTGTACTTCCTAGGTTTGAGCACACACGTGGATGTGTAGGTCATGATACACAGCTATGAATGTAGACATATTTGTGTGTGCTCAAATGCAGATCCGAGTAGTACCAGCTTCTCTGCGTGTGTCCACGTCTGAGCAAGTGTGCGGGGTGTGTGAATCTGTGGGGATGAGGTTGTGTGTGTGTGTTTAGATGCGAGTATCCGTGTAGGTGTTTGCATGTGTCACATGGGGCAGCCCCAGCTGAGCTCCCGCTGCGGAATGCGGGTGTGTTCCCGTGAGAGGTTCTCCTGCCCTGGGAGCCCGCCCCGCTCCTGCAGGGACTGACCCTGGTAGAGATAACCCCCCCCTCCAAGCCAAGCAGCGCTTCCCCTTTAAGAGGCCCGCTTGGCTTGTCAATCGCAGCGTCCCCTCCCCTTCCTGCAGCGGCTACGAGTGCGGTTCGCAGAGCCGCCGCCAGAGCCTGGGCTGGCGCGATGGGCAGCCGGGAACTGCGGCGGCGGCGGCGCCGGGAGGCTACTCGCCGGGGCTCGGGGCTCGCCGGGACCATGGGATAGCGACGGAGCTGGCGAGGGACAAGCCGCAGCCCTGCCGCCCGTGCCCGGCGGGGCCTGGGAGAGCAGCACAATAGCCCGGGAGGAGGGAGCGAGCGAGCGGCGGGGCTCTCCATTGCCCCGCACATCCCAGCCCCTGCCGCTGAGCGCAGCTGCACCAGGTCCTCGGCCCCCCGCCCGGGGCCGCAGGGGGTGGGTGAGACTCACCTTCCCTCCCTCCCTCCCACCTCCGCTCCTTTGTCCACGCTGCCTTGGAGGCGCTCCGGCTTGCTGCGTCGGGAGCATTGTTGTCCTCGGGCATGCGGGGGGTGAAGTAGGGGGTGTGTGCGGGGTAGGGGGTGTCGGAAGCAGGAGAGCAGAGGGGACGTTCTCGGACACAGGACCAGCTGGCTTTACCGCCCTGTTTTCCTTCATGCGTGGACTGGGGGAAAGATCCATTCCGTGAGTTAACCCGTCTCTGGCCGTTCTGTAGCTCCATGTGAAATTCAGCTGGCGTATTCTCTCCACCTCCTGTTCCCCACCGTGATCTTTCCCCGGATGCAAAATGGTGGATCCAGTGGGGTTTGTGGAGGCTTGGAAAGCCCAGTTTGCAGACTCCGAGCCTCCCAAGATGGAGCTGAAATCTGTGGGAGATATCGAGCAGGAGCTGGAGATGTGCAAAGCCTCTATCCGGAGGCTGGAGATGGAGGTCAACAAGGAGAGGTTCCGTATGATTTACCTGCAGACTCTCTTGGCAAAGGAGAAGAAGAGCTACGACCGACAGAGGTGGGGTTTCAAGAGGATTTCCCAGTTGCCTGAAGGGGATGCAGAGCAGCAGAACCAAGACCCACATCATCACCAAACCACCGAGCAAGGGGATCCAGAAAAAAACAAACCCCACCACGGAGAGGAGAAGTTCAAGCCAAGGATACCTTCTCTGAGGAAGCTGTCCATCCAGAGCGATGGGTCGGATCTGTTGCCCTTGGAGAGCTCCCACCATGGGGAAGGGGAGCAAGACAGGTGTAAATACTACAGTGAAGAGAAACTGAAGAGAGTGGGGGAAGATACGGAGAATCGCTGTGATATGGATGGATCCCCTTCAAAACACAGGCCCTCTTCCACTCGCAGGCTGGTGGGCTCCACTGAGAAAGAGGGGTCCTTTGAGCCTCTTGCTAAGGACAAAGGGAATGCCACCAGTGTGGCAGCACTAAGGTCCAACTTTGAGAGGATTAAAAAGGTTAATTCACATTCTTCTAGTGATAGCAAGGATGCTGCTGAGAAGCCCTTCTATGTGAACATGGAGTACCACCATGAGAAGGGTTTAGTGAAGGTCAATGATAAAGATGTTTCTGATAAAATAAGCTCCCTTGGTAGCCAAGCCATGCAGATGGAACGCAAAAAATCCTTGCACTCCCTCCCTCCTAATGTGGTACCCAGCTTTAATGAGTTCCAGAGGCCGGCCTACCGGGGAAGGTCTTCTGAGAGCAGCTTTGGCTATGATGGAGAATATGAGGATGCTGAACTGAACCCCAGGTTTCTGAAAGACAACCTAATAAATGTTAATGGAGGCAATCGACCACCTTGGCAACCAATGGATTTTCAGCCCTACCAAAGCATCTATGTGGGTGGGATGATGGGGGAAGGAGAAAGCAAAGGACCCGTACTGCGGAATCAGAGTGCCTCTGATCAGGAAAAGCATCTTACCTGGCCCAGGAGGTCTTATTCCCCAAGGAGTTTTGAGGACATTGGGGGAGGGTATACCCCAGATTGTAGCTCTAATGAGAACCTCACATCCAGTGAGGAAGATTTCTCTTCAGGGCAGTCTAGCCACGTTTCCCCCAGCCCCACCACTTACCGCATATATCGGGAGAAAAGCCGTTCTCCATCCCAAAATTCTCAACAGTCCTTCGACAGCAGCAGCCCACCAACCCCCCAGTCTCAAAAGCGGCACAGGCAACAGCCAGTCATCGTGTCTGAAGCCACTATTGTGGGAGTACGGAAAACAGGACAGATCTGGCCAAATGATGGAGATATGCCATCTGGGAGAGGTCCTCAGGACAGCTGTTTCCATGGAGATGCAGGTGTGTACATCTTGTTTAAATAGGGGGTTGGTTAATTCACATGTTCGTGTCCACATGTGGGGAAGGAAAGGTTCTTCGGGTCGACCACACAAAGGGAGGCAACTGTCTAAAAAGAGAACCATGGCTATAAATCAAAGCTGCCCTGATCTGGGGATGGCCTCATAGGCTAAAACTCAAGCTTGGGGTACTTAGACTTCTTGGAACCAAAGATTTGGTTCCCAGGAAGGCTGACAGCTCTGCATCATTCTGGAGGTAATAAATTGGGGTCCATGCCATTTATTTTGTGTGTTTAAGACTTTATATAAACCAATGCCTTGAGTGAAACTCCTCTGACCCCTTTTTATAAAGATAGAAGTTTGTCGTAGTGTCTTGGCTAAAATTTCCCTTCCTTCTACTGTTGTGCTGTATAGTGGTTGAACTGCACCCCATAGGTGGCTGCATGTCAGTGATGCTGTAACCTGGCATTGTTACCCCAGGGCTTTACCAATAGAAATGCTGCTCCCTCATTTCTGTTTTCCTGCCCATTGGTTATGGGGAACTCGAACATCATTCTGTCTGCTGTATCATCCTTTAATTATTACTGATCTAAGGGAATGATAATCCAGCCCTTCCCCTGTGTCTTAGAGTTTTTCAAAGTGAGTGAGGTTCATGGGATGTTAGGAAGCCCTAGATGATGCTTCATGGGAGATTGGTTAGTTTAGCTTTGGCAGACCCAAATCAGAAATGGATTGTTTTGAGAAAGGAGGGGCATGTTTGAACCCATTCCCACATTTGTGTATTCAGGTCTGTATCTGACTGAATTTGATGAAATAAGGAAACATGGTGACCATGTTCAGAGTTGAGTCTGGATGAGGAGAAATTAACAGTTAACTATATTGTTTGATTCAAAGGGGCATGCTGGATTTTATGTAGGCATTTGAACTCCTTGTCATTATGCATTGCAATAGCAGCTAACCTCTTCCTTTGACTCATTTAGCCTTCCAGCGTTTACAGGGAAAGAAGTGAAGTGTTTTTCAGGAGTGAAGAAATCCCCGATAGGTTTAGCAGAGTCCAATCATTCTTTGAGTTTGTATGTAATCTTAATCTCTGTCTCTCTCTCTCTTTTTAAGTCAATATTTTAATAAGGGATTAACTCAGATGTCTGAAAACAGGATTGAATTCCTGTAGTAGTGGTGGATTCAAAGCTTTGAAGAGGTTCGTCCATCAAGGATGTTTTCATTGTCTCAAGTTGCTCTAGTTCTCAGAGTGAGTGATTTAAATGGAAGGAGATCTCCCTGCTTCTTGTTGGAGGCATGTATTTGGGTGAGCATTTGGCTGGAAGGTTTCACAGATATAGTTTCAACCCCCATGAAATTGGAGTTCCAGTGTTGTGTTAGTGAAAGGCTGTTCAGTATAAATGTCTATTTACTATAAATGAAAGCTACTTGAGAATTCCAAACCTTGGCACCCTGTCCTTGCAGCGACCCCTTCCTTATCAGATTATATATACACATGCACTGTCTGTTGCATGACTTCTGTGCTTTCCCTTGGTCTTGTGTGTTCTTATGGGATGTAGATGAGAAGCAGAGGGAGGTTGGATCCAATGCTGGCTTAAACTGAGCTGCAGCCATCTGTCTCTGCTCTTTTTGTTTACTGATGCGCTTTAGATGACTGGGGAGTCTCCTAGCTGTTGCAATTTTGCAGAAAGGAACAATGGGGAGAAAACAACAAAGGTGGATAAAGCTTGTTCTCCAAGGCAGATTCTGCCTGCTAGATTGGCCTTCTGGAAAGGCAGTGATCTGATTTTATTTTAAATACTGCTGGATAAGTGAAATACACTATGTGGGTATCTATGTTAACAAAAGAGCCTGCTGGCATCTGAGATCCCCAAACCAACTCCTAGTTTACAGTCCAATGATTTGTTCCTGGTCATGACCAGGTATATTTTTATCTCCCTCCTTTCCCCAGCCTAGGGGATAACACAAGCAGCTTTGGTAGGAACCCAGCTCATATGGGTGTTTACGACTGTCTTAACCTGGTAGGTAGTGGCTACTTTCTACTCCACTAAAAAAAAAAAAAAGGTTTCTATGTCCACAAGACAACTACATTTCTTGTTCATTGCTATTCATTTCCACTATCAGTCATTCTGCAGGCATGCTGAATGGGATTTTTCTTATGCTTAGGAAGGTGTATATTTGAGCCTAAGCAAACTGACAGAGTCCTATCTTCATAAAACGAACACAAAACAAAGGTGTAAGAGGCATCATACGATAGTCCTTATCAGGCCATATACGGAACATCCTCCACTCTACATGCTATGAAAGTAGCTCTTTGCTTCAGCCAGCCTTCCCTGCATCTGTGTTTCAGCCATGCCACTACTAGTCCTGCCAGTCTTCCCTGAAGCTGTGTTTGAACAGGACGTGCAGGTCTAGGTCACCGCAGGTTCTGTTCAGCCTTAATGGTAATTGGTGTCAAGTTGGACTTGTTCTACAGTATTTGGCTCCTTCATGCATCCAGATGTCATACATTTTCTGGCTTTACATTCTGTGGGTGAATCTTTTTTCAGGACTTTGGTTCATGCTAACAGTGGACTGAAGCAGGTATAGTACAGACATGTGCTATGCAAGCTTCCTCTGTGGGTCTGCCAGTGTATCCTCATGCTGGCCAGCAAACACCTGCTGTTTCAGTCCTAGGCCTCTCGAGCAGAGGCTGCCAGTCATGCCAAATCATGTGTGTGTTCTATGATGTGGATGGGGACTAGGGTGAGACCACTAAACTCTCTCACTTGGGAGTTAAGCCAAGTTTTAAACCTAGATTTCCAGAAATGAGAGGTGTCTAGAATTCTAATAGCAGACCCAGGTAGGTGGGACTCCACTCCTTTCTGAATGGCTGTAGGGAGGTACTGCTCTGTGAGTGTGGGCATTTTAATAACTATTTGTAAAATGTCATAAACAACTTTCATCCAACATCTTGCATCCTAGGGTGAGTTATGCAACACTTATAATTATTTCATGTAATGCAAGTAGAGGGGAAAAAGTCTAAAAAATAGTTTAAAAGCTATCAAATTTATCACAATGATTTGTATGGAGAATGATGGCATATTTTCTAATGGATTTTATTTCTTTTTTTTCTATCTGCTGTTGCAAAATAACCCCATGGTGCTCCCTGCACCTAATCAAGGGGGAAAAGTAATGTAGGGACTTCTATGAAATGGAGAGGTCTTGTTGTGACCTTGGTCAGTTCAGTTTTTAAAATAGTCTCACTCTCTTTTAGCTACTGATCACACCAAAATTGTAGCTTGTGTTTATATTTCCAGCTCAGCAGGATGTGGAAGTCTGATGGATGCTCGCTCAGTGCTCTGTGAATGAGATGATCTTGCTCTTCAGCATGAGGGCACAGAAACTCCACATCTAGAGGCTGGTTAGTAGGTAGCCTGGGTCCTAAGTGCAGTTTACGTTCTCCACAAAGACAGTATTTGTCTAGAAAGCTCTTTCCTGTGAACACCCTTGTGTTGGTGGAGACTTCTGTCCACCTGGGAGAGCTGAACGGCGCTCTCCTCAGAGTTCTGTCAGTGGCACCGCAGTAGGATAGCAGGAGCCAGTGTTGCTCAATATGAAGTGCACAGTTTGGGAATAGGATTTGTATGTCATTTTACTCCATTGGTAGTAAGTTTGTAGATCCCTGGTCAGCTCATTTGCAGGCTTTAATAATACTTATTTTTGTATCTCCGCTAGCACAGAAATGCAGAGTGCCTCTTCCTGGAGCAGTGCATGTAATCAGGCTATGGATGGAGAAAAGTACTCTGAAATGGATCCATGCAAACAGAATGCTTGGCTCAAAACTCATATTAGGTCCCTTTGGAACAGAATACCTTTGTAAAGAGCCCGCCCAGTCAGGGACCTAGATTCTTCAGTTACAAATGCCTAGCTAGATAGTCAAGCATCTAAGTCCCTGGTTATTAGCAGTATTGGTTTAAAGGTCATTATAGACACCATTTCAATGTACAGCCGAGACAAAGTACAATATACAGGACAGCGAAGGGAGAGTGTTGTCTAGTGGTTACAACAGGGGATCAGGAGCTAGGTTTCCTAAATTATTTTCCTGACCGTATATCACTTGTCTTCTGTGTGATCTTAGGCAAGTCTCTTGCCCTTGTTATCCCTCAGTTTCCCTGCTAAATTGGGTGCACAGTCAACTTGTGGAACTCCTTGCCTGAGGAGGTTGTGAAGGCTAGGACTATAACAGGGTTTAAAAGAGAACTGGATAAATTCATGGAGGTTAAGTCAATTAATGGCTATTAGCCAGGATGGGTAAGAAATGGTGTCCCTAGCCTCTGTTTGTCAGAGGGTGGTGAGGGACGGCAGGAGAGAGATCACTTGATCATTGCCTGTTGGTCCACTCCCTCTGGGGCACCTGGCATTGGCCACTGTCGGTAGACAGGATACTGTGCTGGATGGACCTTTGGTCTGACCCAGTACGGCCGTTCTTATGTTCTTAATGATGCTTAGCCACCTCACATGGATTTTAGGATGCTGCGTTTGGAAAGTGCTTTGGGATCCCACAGCAATGTAAAAAGTGGCTGACAGTGAAGCAGATTCTGTGCCTTTGTCACTCACTGTTTAGAAACAGCATTCTTCTATGAGCAGCTAAAGTGGGATTTAATCTGCTGCACTTTCCTTCTACTCTTGGGAACCTCAAACCTAGGAAATTCCATAAAGTGCATCTCGCCCGCCTTCTCTCAAGGAGAGAAAGTTAGCACTCCCCTTGATAAGGATGGAAGAGGTCCTAGTGACCTTTACAACACGCATATGGTTAAGGCATTGCCACTTACTTTGTGGCATCTAACTCTAGCGCTTTTGGCTGCAGCTCCTGGCTGTTGGTCTGTCACTGGCTCGCTCAGTCAAGAATGAGGCTTAGATCTAGTCTCTGACATTTGTCTCTAGTTCATTTTGCTATTTTTTTTTTTAAGCCTTTCTCTGTTTTAACCCAGCCCCCACTTTAATCCTTTTCAGTACCAGGCA